CTTCGTAATCGAATTCGATATCAAAATCAGTGCCACAGTGCAGTTTCACTGCATTATTTGGTAAAACTTTCGATAATTTGATCATTGGTGGTATCTTAAGCTCTACTTTAGCTGGCGCACTTTCTTCCCTTTTATTTAATTTTTTTTTAATTTATGGAATAATAATCATCTGAGATAAGGAAATATATATATATATATATATAATATGGACTAAATTTGAAAAATCATCGATTACAGCAAATTAGTGATTAATTTATGTAAGAGGCCATTGATGTTAACAAAGCATATATTTGATAGAAATTCTTATCAAGCAGTTGGAGAATTTCACTATAATTAAATATTCTTTCTCATTGACTTCTGCTAAGCAATAGAAAAGAAGAAGGAAAAGCTAATTTATGGAATAATAATCATCTGAGCTAAGGAAAAATACGCAAAAATGATAAAAATATAGCAAAAGGATCGAATTTTAATAAGCATAAATTTAACTTTTGCACTGATTGTTGAATGATTTTTGTTTATTAAAAGCTTTAAAAGGTTCACAAATATTTTAGAATTCATTTTTTGGTTATTCATTGCAAAAAGATTTCCTTCAACTCTTCATTATCATAGATTAAATTAACTTAAATCATTTATTGAATGAATAAATTTTCTAGTAAATGGCTCGAACTTTATCATCTTTTAGCTAACTGTTAAGAATATTACCAATTAAATTAGCCAAACTATGAATCACAGTAAAAATAAAATGAATCAGAAAATCTTCTAAATAAATCTTATTGAAATTCCTTCATAAATGAATATTAATTATGAAAAAGTTACTCACATGCGCTTTCCTATTGATCACTTCCACCTGCAGTATTGCAGGCATTTTGAAACATGCATGTACTTGCATATCTGATATTATCGATAAAATTGTGCTCGAAAATTATGTGCTGTAAGTTTGATTGATGGGAATTAATCAGCTTAATCGGATAATATCGATTATCGGAAACAGGTTCGGTCGAAAAAATGCTAAATTAACATCAATTTCAGTTATTCTGGCAATAAACTTGATTTAGATTTGTCTTAGAAAGTTTGATTGATTGACATTTCAGGTCACAGTAGATTCAATATCTAAAAGAAAGTGAAATTGAATGGATAATTAATAGTTATATCGTTCCGCTTATTAAACGATCGGTGTTTTTTATAATTGCATTTGAATAATTTACGGAATTAGCTAAAAAGAAATCATTTCCCAGAAGTTGCATATTCTCGGAAATTAACACTCGGATATCCATTCACAACTATTTTTCTTAGAAATTCTTACTTCATTTCATTTTCTGCAACATTGGGAAGTTTTTACAACGTTCCACTTGAAAAGTATTTAAGCGTAGAAAATCAAGCGTCGTAAGCATTATATTTGGACTAAAAAACCGGTCTGAATTCAATATAAAAGTGTAGTGAAAAAGCGATACAAAGTTTTATAAGAAAAAATTAAAACGAATGGAGCAATACTTGAGAAAATAAACTAAAGAGCATTTGAATTTAATTTAAATAAATTTTAATTTTTCTTTAATCCAATTTAAATAAATCATTTGCCTTCTACTTTATATATTTTCTTTTTAAAACGTATTTTGAATGAAGAAGCAGAAAATAGGCTACGATACTGATGAACAAATTGTTTGAAGTTGGATTCTGATCAATGGCGGCTTTCTTCGTTAAAGGATTCATCTTTGAGATTAATAATGCTAGAAATATGAAATTGACAGATTACAGGTAAAAAGAAGAAGAGTAAGTCAAAAATATGTAATTAAAGAGTGAAAATTAAATGCTAACTTTAATTTTAAATAAAAATTTAGTATTTTATAGATTTTTAAATAATTTCTTTCTAATTTGTTTATTTTTTTTCTTCGAAATGTATTTTGGACGAAGAAAATTACTGAATAGCTTTCGTTTATAATCGCTTAAAGCATGTAAATTTTGCTAAAGCTTTAACTGTATTAAAGCTTATCTTTTAACACTAACAGTTCTCTCATAAAATTTGAATTGCTTCAGCAAACATAAGAGAGCTTAAAATTGAAGTTAAGACTGTCTAAAATGATAAAACAAAAAAAGAATAGAACGACGAAATTTTTGTCATAATTATCCTGGCTAATTAAAAACTTTAGGTATCTATACTTTTATTCTTTTTTTGACTAATTAAAAACTTTAGGTATCTATACTTTTATTCTTTTTTTTTGATAATTGGATATATATTTTGATGGAATTAATTTTTAATAATAATTGCTTTATGTATATTAAAGATACATTTGCAAAGTATTCTATCTCCTACTTCTAAAGTAAGGAAAGTACGGCGATGTGGAATATTCGAATGAGTTATGTTAAATATAACATATGAAGTTAGATTTGTCAAAAAATTAAAATACAACTCTTTATCAAATGATAATTTAATAAAATTAAATAGAAGATTAATTGAAAAAAGAAATGAAACAGATTGATAACTTCTTCATCTCATCCCATTCATACAAATACAACATTGCTTATATATTTCGATATTTTTTCTTAAACGAAAATATGATGAGTGATAGCAAAATGCAAATTAAAATCAACGCAGCAACAGTTAAAATTTTTTCTTTGGTATAACTTTGAGGAATTCAGGTGCTCGTATAAGCCATTCAGGCCAAGAGCCAAAGTAAATACTTGAATTATAGCCACACTTCCGAAGTGCAAACCATATTAAGCTAGAACGAATACTCGATGATGAGTATACGATCACTAATCGATTCACATTGAGCTTTCTTGAACGAAATTGAGATATGAGATCCAATTCATCACGCCATTTTCGTTTATGCCAATCATAAATATCTTTTGTTGGAATATTTATTGCTGACCGAATATGTCCATAAACTGCATCCGACGAAATTCCTTCATATTGCTGAAGAATGATAGCAGAAGTGAAGCAGTGAATAAAAGAATTGAAATATTTGATAATAAAATATTGATATAGTAAATTTTAACAGTTTCATTCAATGAATTCTAAATTTAATGCTTACTTCACGATCCTGTCCATCGATCAAATCATGCGTTCTCAGTTCCATATTTGTGAGAATATCATCAAATGTGCAAATTACCTGTTGCAAATGATCTTTTATCTATTATTAGCAATCTTATTAATTTTACAGTCCCAATAATTAATAAATGCATGAGTATTAAAATATATAAGAATTTTATTAAAATATGTGAGATTTTTTTAAATATATGAGATGTATGAGATTTTAATCTGGACAAATCTGTCGTGAACTTATTTCATCACTGTATAATCATTTTAAATTTTCCATTGCTGGTAGGCTCATGTTATTATTATTGGTCACCTATAATGCTTACAGCGGTATTCCATTGAGCTCGAAAATGACCACTACGTTTCGGATATGTACCATCACCACTCTCTGTCCTATATTGTGCTGAATTTTTTTTCAATCTTTTCCACTCATTAATACCACCAGAATATAGTGAAACTTTTTGATGTCCAAAAAGCTGAAATTGGAAGGTTAATATTATTCGGTAGAAATTTGAAATAATTTTTATTGTATAATGAAATTATTAATAGCAAAGCTCAAGCAAATTACGTACTATTCTCTAAAAATGAAATATTACTGCTAATTTTGTGATATTAATAAAATATAATTTTGGATAATTCAATTTTGTTACCGTAAATATCCAGAAAGCATGTGTAGCCCAAACAACTTCTCCACGATCATAAATAATCACGTAACAATCTGCATCTACACCTAAACTTCGAGCATAACGTTGAAATTGAATTGGATGAATTGGTGTACCATTGACGCTCAGATTTGAAAATTGTAGGAGACGCGCTGATTCAATATGTTCCTCACGATATTCTTTTCTCAAATATAATAATTTATGTCATTTCAAGTATGGAAGAAGCGCAAATAAATTGCTGTAATTTTGACGAATTTAAACAGTGAAAAGTAAAGCTAACTTCGATTCGTCACTTCGATCAGTACCCGCTTCGAATAAGCATAATTTCCGCTTTGTAATTAATAATGTAAGCAGAAAGGTTGCCATAATATCGACGTTCACTTTTGATTTTATTACATTTGTGTCGGAACTACTGTATATACTTTCAATAAAATGTTTATCCTGAATCTGTAAATGTTTTAAATTTTTAGAAGAAAACTATTAATTAGTCATGTCAAATTAGATTTAATTTTATGAGGCCGAAATAAAAAAAACATATGATTATATCAATTTACTTTATATCATTTCATCAACTTTCAATTTACAAACTTTAGGAATTATGAATTGTGCCGTGTTTCCGAAATTAGCGTCTTTTTTTGAGTCCCAGGCCAGAAAATATACCAGCGATAGGATAAATAGTATTGTTACTGTGACCAACAAGCATCCCAATGACATCCATTTTGAATTACAACCGCTTCTCTATAATTCTTCAATTATTTTATCACCTTAGTTTATCACCTAGCTGTCCATCAAGTATAAATTATATAATTTTTGATTTGACATCGAGTGGTTATTGAAGTGCTTATCAACATTTATGTGAGACAGCGATTTTGTTCGATATCACTACTTTAATCCTTTGATAAAATTTAAGCACTTAAAGTTCAAGATCGTAACCATAATTTGTTGTGCAATTTTAATCATTTTTATCAAAATATTTTGATGCATTAATATATTTGAGTTTCATCTAATATCGGATATCTTCCTTCTTTTCAAAATGTAGAAAGAGGCCCTTATGTGCAGTAAAATAACAGATGAAAATATACATGAAACTTGAAAATATCTAAATTTGTGAATTTTTAAGTTTTCAATGGAACGGAACCTGTTTATGTTCTATGACAAGATGCGTCGGAATAATTTTCTGCATTGAATTCATCGGCGGCAATGGTGGCGGTGTTTGTTTCTTAAATCAAATCGAAATAAATTTTAAAAAAGAAAAAATCTAGTAAATTTAAATTTTATATTCTAAACTTGAAATTTAATAACTTTCAACTCAAACTTTGAGTTCTTTAAGTTTTGGCTAACCAATATTGAAGGAAAAATGTTGAAAATATTGGAGGAAAATGTGAAATAATATCACATTTAACTTTAGTGATAAAAAACAGTTCTTCTGCATTCTTTTTTATGCGATATTATAACTGCATTAAACTTAATGCTAAGGCAAATTTGATTTCAAAAAAACGAGAAATGAAGACCTGAGAAAAATCAGGTGGTCTCGAATAATAATATTCAGGATCCTCGTAATCTTTTTGTAATTCCGAGATACCATTGTAATAGTTATTTTGATTTGATAATCTATTTCGAGTGTAATGAAATGCTTGAGATTTAGTAAAGCATTGTTCATCCGTTATCGGCATTTTCTTTCACCAACTGCGCTTAGTATCTTACTTCTGCGCTTCGTATTGCTTTGCTTCTATGGCTTTTGCGACGACATTTGCAAAAAACCATAAAACAATCCAATTAATGAGTAAAACGAAATAAAGATAATCATTTTATTCTGAAAAAAATGATAAAAGTCATAAATTTTTGTTCCTTACAAAAGCGCCTTTTTTTAAAAAACGAACAATTGTTGACAGATAAGCATTAATGAAATCAAAATTACAAATGAGAGATGAAATGTGAATTCAATTATTGACCATTATTATTTAATTGTTTGGTCAATTGTTGGTCATTATGAAATGAAACAAGCAAACAGCGATAAAGAATAAATAACTGTGACTTTGTTCTGCACAATATGCCTTACTGTGGCTGACAGATATTTTGGAACATCCACAACAAACTGGCAACAAACAAAAACCAAAATATGATGACAAAAATTGTTCGAGATAAATTATTTTAGCAATACATGTAAAAAATAAAAATTAAATTTAACTGACTCAAAGTTAACAGTTCAGTTAATTAATATATAAGGTATAATAAACATATCAGAGGAGGAGAGGCAAATTTCAAAAGTGCTTATTCTATGGTTTGATTAACTCATAAATTAGTCAAAATTATTCTCATAAATTATAACTCATAAATTAGTCAAAATTAGTAATAGAAATAAAAGAAAAAAACACAATGATAATGTCAAGAAAAACAGAAAACGTCCCCTGAGGTATCGCGGTTTACTTTTTTCGGCTTACTGTGGGAAAAAGACTGATACATTTGAAAGTATTAAACTGATTTCTTCGATACACAAAACTGAACAAATTTCTTTCATTTGGAATAAATGTTGACAGAGTGAAAATTAATCAAAGCATTTGAGAAGAATTTTGTATGAAAGGGATCTTATAAATAATGACAAAAAAAGTGGAAGCGAAAGGAAGAAAAATAACTGATGAAATTAAATTCGACAGGAAATAAAATATAAGATTAACGGGAAAATGTTGTGATCACAACAAATGAATAGATAATAATGACATCTTTTTTTGGATGGTCGGTTGAAAGAAGAAATTAAATTTATATAAAAATATGCTTTTATTCGGCATAAGGAAAGTTCAAACAGAAGAAAAAGAGCTGATTGCAATTTGTTGATGCAAAAATGATTAGGAACGGTACTAACATACTAGATAAAGAATTCACAACCAGTTAAATTGAAGTATCATCTATGAAATGATAGTACCGCGAAGAGCGTCATGATAGTAATTGATCAATTAACATGAATCAATTGGATTGTCTTTTTTGATAAGACACTTTCAATGATAGTCAATTACTTGCAGGACACACTTCATTTAATTTGATAATACATTATTTGTGAAGTGATCGTGACAAATTAAATGCTGCTGTCATTACATTAAAAGAAAAAAATAAAAATATTTTTTACAAAATAAATTAAGTTGTTGAAGAATAAAAATTCATTAAAATTTAAAATTATAATACTTAATGTTTGCATGCATGGAAAAATTTCAACATTTTTTGAATAACTGAAAAATAGCTGCAATTCTTTCATTTCGTTATTTTATTGAATAATAAAAAAGAGAGATAAGAATGGCGAAATATACCGAAATGCTTTTTTGAAGGTCGCAGTTATGTCCAACATATTCCTATCAACGTAGTAAAAAGGAAAGGAAGAGATGATGAAAAATTATTGGAAATATTTTTTCATAGAAAAAAATCTACAATAAAAACCAATTGACTTAGTATGTTTTCTTTCCCGGTTTGGTTGATTCGTAAATTACTGCTCCCGCAAAAAATGCTTAATTACCGGACAATTATCATATTATTTTGCATATTCTGCAACCACCATGCTCAATGACACAACATGCTTTCACTGTATTTATTGAGGAGCGGGGTGTACTTTAAAAATTGAAGAGTGGAATTAAAGTGGAAAAAGAAAGGAATTGATGAAATGAAAAACAATAAATAAGAAAACAAGTGAGTGAACGAAGAAGATATATTAGTCATTGATCATAAAAGAATCAATCCAGCGTATGATAAGTAAATTAAGAATTTATCGATCTTAGATTTATAGTAAACTATAAAATTTAATTATAAATAAAACATTTATATATTTAAGATTTTTGAATTTAAAAAATTTCTTATTGTTGTTTTCATATCAAATTCTGCAATCCTAACCTCTTAATCTTTTACATTATCGTTTATCTGACAATCCATTTATCTTGAAAATGTTAACGAGTTTTTTACATCATTATACCTGAATGATAAACCATTCACTAATATCATTTTTGTGGTAAAATAAACTTTCGATTATCACCACGGGTATAGAATGCCCATTTCATTGCTCAACAGATTTAACCTTCAGAAATTCCAAACTAAGTGGTATGTCTAATAGTTCAGATTAAAATAAATAAGTTCAGAAAAATGTTGTAAAGTTTTTAAACTGGCGAGATCTCTCTGCAAATTCTTTAATCTTTTCACTGTTTTTTTCAAATTCCATTTTATTTCCATTTTCATAGCAAACGGAATGCTATGTTTTGAAAAGTTTTAACCGAAAGCGGAAATGCTAAATAGAATTCTGCTAAGAATAAGATCAAGCTAACTATCATTCAAATCAAATTTGTAGTTATCCATAATAATTCTAATCTCCAAAACCTTTTTCAAAGTCATAAATCTGCTTCAGTTGACAGCAAATGGATAATTTAAATTAGGTAATTACTACTCAAATTTGTCTCATTTAAATAAGTTTTAATATAAGCTTACATATAGCATCGGACATCTTTAAAATTCTGAAATTACCATTCTGGAAGACAAACGCTTTATAATACTTTATAATACTTTACATGACATTACTCAACCAACAATACAAGGATGAACTCTCGATTTTACTTTAAATTTTATTCCTTCGAGATATATTCTCTAATTTCAACAAAATTGTTTTATCATAAGATTTGAAAGAATATTCTGTTGTTAATTAACAAAATGATTGAAAACTCTCTCGATCAATATATGGGATAATAACTTTTTCATTAACAGTAAATTTGAAAAAATAGAAAAAAGTAAATTGAAAGAAAAAAGTAAATTTTGTTTGATATTATTGAACTTTGACTTGTAAGTTGAAAAAATGGAGCTTTGTTAATTCAAACAATAAATTTAATTTTCGTTTACAAAAAGTTACATTTTTTTAAATAAAAATTTCATATTTTAAAATGAAATAAGAGTTGAAAAAAGATAGCTACGATAAGTTAACTTTGTTATTAATTAATTGGTCTGAAATTATTACAACAATTTTAGACGAATTACTAAATACAACAGCATTTTTTATAAAGGTAAAAGTGAAAGTAATACTTTCTGTTAGCTTAATTAGTTAAAGTTAATAACTTTCAAGCAAAATTTGCTTTGTATAACTTCTCGAATACATAAAATAACAAATAACGGATTGTTTAATTAAAATGAATGAATGAAAATTGGTATTCGTTATGAAAATGATTCATTTACTGTGCTCAACAATATTTTAAAACATGCCAAATTTCTTCAAATTTTTTTCAATCACCATATCGATAACATTATCCAAAATCATTTGAACCTGATTGGTATCAGTGGCACAGGTTTGATGCACATAAATCAACTTTTCCGGATTAGCATTTAATTCTTCAAAACGTTTTCTTATAAAAGTTACCGAATCCTCGTACGTTTCAGGTCCTGAAAATTATTTTAAGCATCAATGTTTTTTTCTTTTTTCAAAAAGCAATAAATATGCTTTAAAAAATAACATATTTAAATGATTTTGCATTACTGCAACTTTTTAATTGTTCACAAAAAGATCTTATGAGTTTTAATTTGTTTTAAAATTCAAAAATGAATAACTATGTCATAATTACAGTAGAAAATTTTTAAAAATTAGAGAGTGTGATATTTTCATTAATAATTTAAATATGAATCATATCATACTATTCATATGAAAGTAATCTCTGACGAGAAAAAGTAAGGTATGATAACTTATGCAACTAACCGTTGTATTGAGGAAAAGCTATCTTTATTGATTTCGACTTTAATTTTTCAATAAATAAATCTTTTTTATTCAAAAATAAAATAATAGAGGCATTAATAAACCATCGACTATTGCATATCGATTCAAATAAACGCATACTTTCTAACATGCGATTCTGAAATAAGAAGGAATGTTTATGTGTTCGTGCTGTAACTTATTATATCATAGCCAGATAAGGTATTTAATCTTTCCTTGAAGTGAAGTTTCAATAAATTTTGTAAGAACCAACGGTTGTATTATCCTCGGATAAAACTTCAGCATACTCGCTAATAGCTGTAACAAATATAACAGCGCTAACATTCTCGAAACAATGAATCCATTTTTTCCGCTCCGATCGTTGTCCGCCCACATCAAATACTCTGAATTGAATATTTCAACAAAATATGTTTTAAAAGAAATATGGATTAAATTTTTGTTTTTTTTTAGATGAATCATTTGTTTATGATAAACAATAATTGTAAAAGAATTTTGAATTTTTTCAATAAAAAAAAATGTTTTTGATTTGGCTGATATGAGAAGTTGAGCTGATTGCATTGACTTCCAATATAAATTTTAGCCGAAAAATTTATGCTATGATGCTAAAATTTGCAAAGCAAAAACGGCTTATATTTATGAATAGAACCTGAATCGGATATTTTTAATAACAAAGTGAATTTCCACAATTCCAGTTGTTCTTATTTTCGTTAATAATATATCTTTTTCACTTGGTTCATAATCTGGTGCTGCTATCCGATCAATGTTGTCGAAAAAGCTAAAAAATGTTCACCCCTTTTTCTAGCTGTCATCTGCGCATTTCAAATCTATGTCATAATATTGATAGCCAAAAAAATGAATGTCAAATACTTTACTTATCACTACCTATATCAGTTCAAAACTGAATATTATATTCAATTGCTTTTGTCAAAGATCATATCATAATCAAAAAGAACGAATAAATTGCTTAGGTCTTCCTTAGTTTGATTTCATTTCATTATAAATTTGCGATATATCTGTCGAACGTCGCATACAAATATTGACCTAATGATTCCAACAATTGATTTTGTTAAGATAATTTAATAGAAACGCTTTTCAGATTAATTACTCAATGATTTTTATGGTATTCCTTGATTGATTAGTTTAATAATATCTCTGTTTGTGAAGCATCAGTTAAATATGTTGTTATTGATATGATATTTTCATGAAATCAGTTAAAAATGCTTCGCTAGATTCAACAAGTTCAGATATTCGCTTTTATTCACCGTGGCAACTCGTAATGTTTCTCACTTTACCAACGTGTTAATCACGTTTTGTCAGTTGTCTACTCATTTTCAACTTATTTAACTAACTATTTTATTGAGATGATAATAATATAACTTAACACAATTAATATACAACCGCTAGTTTTAACTACTGCTAATAATTGTTACTGCTTCAATTTTCTTTATCGCTATTATTTTTTTGCCCAAATGAGATTAATTTACTTCATAAATTGTCGCATGATGGCAATATATGATATTTGCAAAATGAAATATGCAAATATTTCTATGTTGCAAATATTTGCCAAATAATGGTTGAGTCTGAATTCGCTATGAATCTGCCAAATAATATTTGCAAAATAACAGAAAAATGAAATTATACGATAATTGTTCGAAGATCACAAATCAAAAGTTGAAGAAATTATTACATTTCTGTTTTATATTAATAAACCATCAATTGGAACATCCATAATTTTAAAACTTAAATTCTTTGTTTACTAAAATTTGCAAAAAAAAAAGATTAAACGGAACTATTTGGCAGATTCATGTAGATAAAAGTCATGTCTTTTTTCATAAATAGCCTGAATCGCAGGATCATGCCATAGATTTTTAATTGCAGTTGCAATCACACGAGTTATTGTCTCTGATTTTGTATTGGCAGCTTCAGTAATGATAGCTGCATCAGCCTGAAAATATTACTGCATACTGCTAAATAAATTGCATACATATGAAGGTTCAAATGACCATTGGGAAGATTTTCTTCTGTTATATATGCCGCCAAATATGAGCACTTCGAGGGCTATTAGATTAAAATCCAAAATAGAGCATTTCTTGGGTTATTTTGAAAGATTTCGGTGATTTTGTTATCAGATGAGAGTGAAGGTGGTAGACTAAGGAAATAAAGCGATTTTTGATGATGAAATTCTCAAGTTTGTAAGTTTAGGCAGAAGATGTTAATCATTTAATATTCAGGAAATGAAAAATTCTTTGCATCATAAAAAATAACCTTCATGGATGGATCATCGAATTCGACATCATAAAGTTTCATAGTTCGTATGATAATATCCATTGCATGGATCGTATTTTGGAATACCACGGAACGTTGCGCTATCAGTTCATTTTTTGTAAAGCCACTACTGTGTAAAATCCTGAAAGAATATTATATGCCAAATATATTATATCTTCTCTCATAATATATTTGTCAAAGTGATTACTGCAATGCAATTAATTCTAATGATAAGTGCAGCATAAACGATCCAGGTGATAAGTGACCCAATCACGTTCCCGATTAGATAAGCGTTCATTAATAAACAGTATATTTGGATAATAAAAATCAACCATCCAAATTAAGTTAAATTGAAAAATAATGTTGATTCAGATCCCAAACCTCATCTGTTTTAGCAATGTACTCTTTCCGGAATCACCAGTGCCTAAAAAACTTATTTGAAATAAACTTTATTTCAATATTCATGGCATTAATGTCTAATAAAAGCTTATTCAAGTCTTATCGATTTCCTTCCTTCATTTTCCCACTCATTCTTGATCTAAGAGATATGCTATTATATGATTTTAAACTCTTTATAATTCCATCTTTTGTGAAACTGAATAATAAGACAAAATCCTTTATGCATTTCATTGGGCAAGCATTAAAAAATATAGGCTTAATAAGTTTTACTGAAAATTATTGAAAAAGTAAATTAGCATTGGATAGATTTGGTGAGGATGATGATAAACCATTCTGCAGAGATTTTTCATTTATATTTACAACAAATGTGAACTAACCAAGTAATAACAATTTAATAGCTTTTCTGTTTTCTATCGCACTTTCTTTAATTTCACGATCGATCTCTTTACTTCGTTGATGTAATTTTTTTTCCAAATCACTTTGACAAAGACCCATAATATCAATGTTTTTTTTCTCTAAAAAACTTTAAGATAATTGCAAAAATTAAAATTATTTTCTAGTTGACAGAAAGAAGAATTTTGAGAATGAAAATATGTCATTTTTCAAAGTATCGTAGAAACAAAGCTATCAGATGCAGAACTTTAAGCTAAATAAAGCACCTATCTTTTATTAATGAAAGAAAAATTTGTTCATATATCCAACAATGAATGAAATATTTCAGTTGATAGAAGAAGAAAATATATACCAATCGTGTATTTAAAGTTATCGTAAGATTGTTAAAAGGCTTTAAGAACACCGAAAATACTTTTTCTTGAGAAATTGAAAATGTAAAAAATTATTGATCGAAATAAATCGGTGCGAAAAAAGTATGCGAACAATTAAAAAAAAATAATTTCAAAGTCCTAATTTCTCGAAAGTTCCCACATATTGTTTCTAGTCTTATTTTCTAGATATTCTTTCACTATTTTTAACTGCTTGATAATGACCAAATTAAGTGAATCGAAAAATTCCTAATTTCATACACAAAAAGAAAGAGAGCTCAGATTTCATAGATAGACAGTACTGACCACAAATATTTCAATGTCCGAGAAAAGTTTGTTTTTTTGAAAAGCTTAATGTACTTTTTTTGATTTCTTTCCATTAAATAAATGAGCAATTACTTCAAAGATAGTCTGATAAATGACCACAATTCTACACAGGAGAAATTGAAGTTTTAGATTTCAAAGATTGTTGAATGATATCTTTTCAAGAGCTGTCAAAAAATCGAAATTAGAAATAATTTTGTGATAAATCTGTTGAAATAATTGAAATTATATTATGGAAATCTATACCATAGAATTATTTAATATCAAAATGCGTCAAATTATTGCAAATGTTTAAATTAATCCTTTATTTACTTGGCTTACTTTGATTGTAAGATGCTATGCTAATCTTTTATACATTTAGACTCTTCTTGTCTTCAAAGGATTATAGTAATGTACTTTGTTTATTAAGTAGTTGCTGATCCTTTATTTACTTAGCTCTTTTTGCATTCAAAAAGAACTTTAAATACTGGATAAGTTAGTATTATCACTATCTTCTGCATAAGAGTAGTATCGTCAGTTGTATTATGGACAGTCTTAACTAGGTGCTCTATCAAATAGCAATCAATTCTACCTGTGATATTCTCTGATACTATCTTATAAGTCAAAACTTTCTATCAAATGATAAACCTTCAAAACTATTCATTGTGCCACACAATGCTCTTCGTCAAAAAATAATCTCTTGAAAATTCACAGGGAGCTTTTTTTGTGTTTTATTAAGGATTCTTAGCAGTAAAGTCGGCAACAAACTTTTCATCAATTAGTCATTATTATTAGTGTATCCTTTATTCAGAAATTTTTTTTAGCAGAGTGCACTTTTATATCAAAGATCGGAATGGTAACAATTAGGATCTTCTTTCTGCATTTATAAGTTTTTCTGGCTGCAGGATCAGTCTGTAAACTTGACAGGTTTTTCAGTTGATAAGTAAGAGTAACACAATGTAGAACAATACCTCATGTCTGATCAAATTGATAACCTTTGCTATCTGTATAGGAAATCTCGTATCTGATTAAAGCACAATGTAGGACATCTTATATCTGATTAAATTGATAACTTTTGCTACTTGTATATGTGTATGTGTGGTGTTCAATAGGAAAACAGAAGAGTTCGCTTTACCATTGTATCCTTGAAAATATTATGCTAATTAAGCTCTAATTAATAAATTACACTTCGAGAATTTAACAAAGATTTCATGTGCAAATTATTCATCATTTTTTTTCGAAATATTTATTTATTTCTGTCACTTCAATTCATAGGCTGACGAAAGTACAAAAAATACATTCAAGTTAAATTGCAATACCTTTTTGTAATTATTTTAATGGTAATTATTTGTAGTAAATAATCTGAAAATTTCCATTTGTTAATAAATAATGGGTGAAAAAACTAGTACTTTTTGGTAAAAATAAATAAATTTGAGGGACAATTACACCATTCTAAAAATATCCATTTAAAAGTACCTTAATGGTACCTTAATAATACTAAATACTATAAGTAATACTAATACTACTATTAATACTAATATAATAATATTTAAAGTACCTTAATGGCAATAATTATATTCATTTTAGGACGCTGAACAATTTGAATTTTACTGAGATTTTCTGAAAACACAGACAAGAACCTTCAACAAATGATATTGTAAGAGAGAAAACTCCCGAATTGCATAATTCTACACCATTATGAATGCTTTACTTAAAGCAATAAGGTTAAAAGTCAAATAACCTGATGAAGTGAAATAGAAGAAGCACCATAAATCGTAACAATTTCGTGAAGAAATTGAAATGGTCATCGTTTGGAAATGGTTTTGTATTATCGTTTTTATAAAATTTTTAAATTTGATGAGAAATTTTACGAAATATATACATATGTTTTGTGATAAGGAATTTTTTTAGAAGCAGAAACAGAAAGGAGTTGATAGATGACACCTTTAAAGGTGACAGCTACGTGCCAAAAAATTCAATAAATGAATTTTCAAATAAATGAAATAATCTTATTATGAATGCTATGTACAGAAGAGTTTTAGTTTCAAGCAAGAATGAAATTAAAACTTGAAATAAAAAGATTATATGCTCCAACCAAATTGCAAAAATAATAATATTTTATATTTAGATGAATAAGATTTTGTGCATTTTTTTATAATATATTTTTACATAAATCTAGAAATACTAGTTAACGATATCAACTGAAATTAAATAAAACAATAAACCTATTACAACTAATATTTTATCCTAAAAAGAAGTGTGAAGCAATTATCGGATTCATTTATCGATAATTTATTCATGCTATTCCAGAGTATATATATATATATATATATATATGTATTGGTGCAAAATTTGAATTAACAAATATTTCGGGATTTGTTTTCCATCCATTCAGATCAATCGGACAACAGTCTACTTCAACTTCACTATCTCTATCACTTATATACGTCACTTTGCGCAATACATTACATCAAGGAGCAGATGTTCTGTGTAGCGTTCAAATACTTCTTGTATTACCACATGCTACAAGTATAAAGTGATATGAAAATTAAAAGATAGAATTTCTACAGGACTATTTATCAGTATTGCTATTTATCAGTTGGAATAATTTTTATTCAATAAGTAGGAAAAAGAATACTTTATAAAATGATAAATTAAAAAAAAACATTCAAAAGATAAAATTTGGAAGAAATTAACCCAAAAATGCGATCTCTTGCCCCTTCCACTTTTTTTCTTTCACTTTCTATCTTTTTTTCTTATTCTCAATAATAAAAACCAGTTATTTTGAAGTGAATTTAATTCTACTATTTTCCCAAAATAGCAACTAAAATCATTTCTACAAATCA